AATAGACTAAACGATCATCCAAATATACAATTATTGGGTAAGACATTCAAGAATCTAATGGATCAGGAAATTTGGTCTATTAAGGTACATTTAAGTTGTATTCTCTGAAACTGTTTTATCGTATAAAATTATGTATAAAAATATAATTAAAACTTTATATTATACACACAGGAAGAACCTTATTGGACAGGACCATATGATTTTAGACAAATGAAAGAAAGAGGGAAAAATGTGTATGCTCAATTGTCCGACGCAAAATTAGTAATATTTAAAGGTGATCTGAATTATAGAAAGCTTCTGGGTGATATAAATTTTGAGTACAATACAAACTTTTCAATTGCATTGGGAAATTTTCAACCTACGAATATTTTGAGCTTGCGCACTATGAAATCCGATATTTGTGTTGGATTATCAAATGATATGGCTGAATTCTTTGAAAAGCATAAAGATAAATTGATAACCGGAGAATATGCCATCATTCAAGCAGCTTTGTTCAGCATTTAAATTACTAGACCATTCTGTAAAAAAATAAAAATTAAATCTTTAAATTATAATAATTGTTGAATATCTTTAAATTATTGATAATTGTAACTATATACGTTTATCTCTGTACAAATATAAAGTTATATAGCACATTTGTACATATACAGATATGCACGAAAATACATCTATATTCAAATAATATTCATTAAAAAAATCTTTGTATTTTTCTTGTAAAAGAAATACCATATCTCCAGATTGAGCTTGTGAACTCAAAAAATCTTTATATTTCTTATAATACATTTATATTTATTCTATGCCATATATTGTATATTAATTATTTGATCTGTTATAGTCTATACATACTTCTATATATATATACATAAATAAAATCTATATCTAATTACAAATATTTTATAGTATTTTACACTGTAAATTTTCATCTACATTTGGTAAACTACTTTGATATATACAGTTATTTCGTGTAAAATCAATTTTCTTATTATAAATTCAGCCATTAATACAAATGTTGTTGCTGATTTGTAACTAATTTATGCAGTGTAATGATAAAAACACGATAAGAATAATCTCTTAATAATTACTTATAAATTGTCAGTACATAGTAAATTATCTTTTTATTATTAATTTTTTGAAAAATTTGTATAATAAAAGTGCTAAGGAATTGTGGTGTTAAAATTTCTTGTTGTTTCGTCCTCATTATACAATTAAATACGTTCTTACATGAATGTTTAAAGTTATAATTATTTTCTGTTGTTGATTGCCTATCCTGAAGTTATGACATGCCCTTACACATACAATGCTTATAATTTAAAATGCTGCTCACAATCCTATTTCATATTAATTGTTATCAAACTACGACCAAATACTTTTTTTTTACTTTTTGAACATATTACATATATAAGTCGAAATAGAAATTTAATAAAAAGTAATAAATGTTGATAAATTCTTGTTTATTGAATTTTTTAATCGACGGTATATTACATACGTATGTGCACATAAAATTATAAAGCAAGTCTGTAAGGATATAATACTATATTTATATCTACAAAATATTCAAAAATATAAAATTAAATTTTTTATATTTTGATTTAAATAATTTGACATATTAATTGGACGCGATATATACTTTAAGTATAATAAATTTATCACAATAAACTGTAAATAAATTTTAAATTCTAAAATATAATTTCAACAAATACGACCTGATTTAATTTCCATACTTCCATTATTCTTAAAATTTAATTTCCATACTTCCATTATTCTTAAAATAAATAAAAGACCAATCTTTCAAATTGGTGTGTTAAAATATTTTTGCAGAACTCGTTAAAATTTTTCATTCTTAAGTTTTATAACATATTCTGATTAACATATTCAAATATAAAGATATGTTCTTCATTGTAAAACTTCAACCGTGAATAATGCGATATACATATATATATAGTTGTAGATAATAGATTTCAAAAGAGATGTCGAATCTCGCACATAGCATCAGTTGCAAATGTTTATTTATCATTATTGTGATATAAAATATTTACTTCGTAATTAAGTAAAACTTATTTCACTGTATTCGACTTTTCATATCAAAGCACGAAAGAGATAGATATTTTACCAAGTGGCAATAAAGCTCTCCCATCAATGGATTTTAAGATTAAATGTAATAAAAATCTACGTGTATATTAGAGTATTCTCACAAAACTTTGAATAAGATTGCTTTAATTAGATACTTGTAAATATATTCATTATACTGTAAATACTACTATAACATAGTAAGTATAATCACTACAATAAAAATGAAGTAATAATTAATATAATACATATTAATAAATAATTTAAATGCACTAGAATTTAATTATTGTCGTCACAAATAAACTAGATTTATATGCTAACATATGCTTGTCCCGCAAGCACTTTTAGATGAAACAGTATTTTATTAACATAACATTAGACAATTTTTAATATTGAGAAATAAAAATTTATGAAGAACGTGTACATATGTGTGTATAATATTTCTGCGTACGAGTATTACTTTTATATGTAAGCATAAATGATACAAAATAGTCATTAGTATAGATTATACTTATTAGACTCAAATAAATGTAAAAATTGAATTTAATAATTAAAATTTTATCTTAGATAAAATATTATCATACGTAAAATAGTGATTATAAAGTCTAATTAATATCTCACTATATCACTTAATATCTCACTATATTACGAAATTCATTATATCTCTCTATTCATGTTCAATTCAATAAAATGCGCTCTACAAAATTTATTTGGAAAGTAAGTGCTGATCATAACTAAAAATATTTTAAAAAATATTAACTGAAAATTAATTTTAAGCAATTACTATTTATATTCCCCTACTTCATTTTCAATAAAGAGAGAGAATTAGAACATAAATTAAAAAAAAATAAAACTTAAAAAAAATTTTTTAATATTATAAAATGCATTCTTTGTTCTTATGACTAGCATTTACTTCCAAATATTGTGTGTTTAATATCTATACATTTTTTATATGCATGCTATATAATATATCAGTAATTAAGAAAGCATATGAATAAACAAAAATATTTGACTTTATATTACAATAATTTTTTGACTTCTGCAAGTAGTTTGATACATTTTATACTATTCTTACACATATATCCTATATACGTCCTAAACTTTTTCACATCCCGCTTATGGGCAGATAGAACGGATTAAACTGAATCAAAGAGTCTTCACCATTTTGCAATTTTTTTTAGTTACCCAATAAGCAAAATGTCTAAATAAAACCTGTGCATAATACAATTTTAAAATATGTTTAAGAATAATTAATTCTTTAATTAATATCTTAAAGATATTTCGTAAAGATCTCTGAAAGGTATCTCAAAATTGTCTTATGTGTCTATTCTACTTGTTTGACAATCTTTAGAAAATATTCTCGTTAACTATTGACAAATTGCAAAATGGTAAAGATTTTTCAACTCAGTTTAGTTCACTCTAATTGTCCACAAACGGTGTGTCAAAACATTTGAGACATCCTGTATATGCTCTGTCCAGTGTAGAATCTAATAATGTTCAGTAGCAGATTATTAAAATTTATTAATAAACTCTAAAAAATTACTTTCACAATTATTTACAAAAATATGTTTAGAAACAACGGTAGAATAATTCAAATAATTTGTAAAAAATATGCTTGGTATTATACATCATGTTTATTCTTATGAATATTAAAAAATGCTCCAGATACATTCTTTTAAATAAATCAAAATAAATTTATAAATATAAAAATAATTTTATTAAAAAAATAAAGGAGATTAGCCTCATGCTTTCCTGGTCTAATTAATTATTTCACAAAGGAATTAACAAATTTCAACTACTAAAAGATAATTTTGTTATTATATTTAATAATCTCAGAACAAGCAGCTTGTAATATTATACATGGACTAATGTACATGTTCAACTATTAAATTACAATAAAATTATCATTTATCTGAAAAGTTTCGATAACAGAAAATTTCCATGACCAATAATAAATTTGTCATCATTCTATTTCAAAACTGAGCACTTTACTGCCACATAGTAATACTATCAATACAATTTGTTTATATATACCAGAAGACATTGCAACATTATAATGATCTGTATAAGAAACATTTACATAGAGTAGTTGTGCAGAGAATTTCTTACAGAATTTATGATAATTAAACAATTATCAGAAATGTGGCACTTTACATAATGTCGTACGAGATTAGCCACGAGATTAGTGTAAAATCATATTTATTAATATTATCTACATAATGAATGAAATAATTAATGATATTAAAAATATATCTAAAATTCTTTTCTGGAGAAAGATTTTAAATGCATGTTTAGATTGATTAAACTTAAAATATTTAAAGGAACGCGCTTTGATCTAAACGACTCGCGGATATAACGCGAAATTCTATATAAGATAAAGAAAGAGGCACATGTATATACTAGATATTAAAAGTTAGAATTTAAAGGAATATATGTACATACTTGTATATTTCACAAAATTATGGCTAAAAACATATAATCCAGATTTCTTCAATATCAACACGCCCAATATCCATTTTGAGGCACCCCGCATAGTGTCTTGCGTCTTATATTATGTCTATAAACCAATACATTCATAAACACAATGAACGAGCAAGAAATATTGAAGTTGAACGCAATGTAATCGTTCCTTCCCAAATGAAATATTACTATCCAGCACAAAGCATTCACGCTTCTTATTATTTTATGATATTTAAATACGAATATTCATTGTATTCAGTTATCAAATATGTATTAAAATTAAATAATAATAACGAAAAATGAAAATGATTAATTTAAAAAATTTTCTATTTGGTTGAATACGAATTTGGTCTGAATCATATGTATATAACAAGAATTGTATCTATTTCACATAATTGTCGACATAATTGGCAACTAAACGATATGCAAAATCATTAAGTTCATTATTCACATTAGTATAAGAATAATAGTATTGTATAATACATAATAATAGAATTTAATAGTAGAAAACTATTCCGCGTCCACGAAATTTAAGAGTTAGTAACTGTTACTTGGTGAATGCAGCAAATACAGCCCAAAGTACTGGGTTCGCGTTACGTTTAGTAGATTCCGCCTCAAAATCAAGATCTAACAATGTCCGTACTCTTCGCATCGCTACTTCATAATCGTCATCTGACAATGGCGCAAATGCATTCTCTAATACGTCAGCTGCGTGAGCTAAAATAACTAATGCCAATGTTCGTTTATCCATGCGAGCGGCATCATTTACCCAACGACCTAATACAGCTTCTTGGATCTGAAAGACAAAAAGTAACATATGCCATTGTTCTATTCATAGATTATGTAATAAACTCAATTTAGCATCGGTATTCTTTTATGCAAAATGTAGAACGTATTTTTGTCCTTGCCCATTATCTATTTTCATTTTTATACATTTATACTTAGATGTCCCTTTTTATTCTTTACTTTTTATTCTAGGAACAATGTATATATAATAGCTTTTAATATAATTAATAAGAAATGTAGAAATATCTAACGTTACAAATTTAATTTGAAAATTAAATTTTCAATTAACAACATGAATTTATAAAACATATAATTTATTATTTAGATACCTCCTTTGTATATATTAATTTTTCTGTTATGTATAAATTAAATTGGTAATAAGCATACTACAAAGATAATATAAAATCATATATATGTACATATGTATATACACATACATACATACATACATACATACATATATATATATATATATATATATATATATATAATATCATACACATATACATGTATTTAATTAGGGAACTGTTATCTTTCCATACTTATATGTGTATATACATGCCTGCTAATCAATGTAGAATATTAAGCATATGTAAAGATAAGATATTACTTCCGTAGAGGATGACAACATTATAACATTAAGCACAGAAAGTGCTTAATGTTATAAATGTCCAAATATTGAGAAGTTTTCTATTGAATTTGCATGAGAGAATAGGTCGTAAGTTAGGAAACCTTTTTCCTGATTAAACACTACTTACTTCTGAAAGAATTTAATAATAATATTTATGATGTGTGTGTGATAAGTCAGTTATTACACTATGTAGCAACAGTCACAGTAAATACATAAATATTATCAGTGTGACATATATTAATATATTATATTTCAAGGTGGAAGACTCATACAAGTATAGACATAAAAATAATGTAAATTGTTTGTGCGTGTAAATTCTTATATTGCATATCTATATCGCGTCTATACTTGTATGAATCTTCTCCACTTTGAAATATAATTAATAATTCCCTAATTTATTCTATAAGCATGTCAATGAGTGTGCAAAAAGTACTCCTACAGAGGAAATATTAAAGAATAAACATTAATTAAGAATTTATTAACAAAGAACAAAATTGTCCGTATATTTTTGAAAATTATTTTGCATAATAAGTACAGCCAAGAAATTTAACTTTGAAGATCAAAAATAAACAAAGCTCTTTTGTCTATATGAGAACAGAATGGATTCATTGCATAAAGTTGCTAATCAATATTTATTTTCTTTAAATAAGGCTTTTATAAAAATTTTCCCTCTAAAAACACTTTTTGTACTCACTGTATATATATATCGATAACTAAAAAGTAGTATTATAGAAGAATACAAAGATAAATTTACCTTTTTTACGAGACGACTCTTAGCAAGGTTGTCAGTAAGAGGATGAGTTGTCATATCAAACAGTAAGAAATTTTGTTTCTCTGTAGTTAAAACACCCTTTTCAACAAGATTTTTTGCTAGCCGTTCTCTGACATTTTTCAATTGATACCTTAATTTTAAAGGATTCCATGTTTCTCCTGCAACCATGCGAGACAATTTAGGACCGACATCTTACACATAAGTATAATAATAAAGGAACTAACCACTGAGATATTCTATCCAACTCTGGACAGTTTCAGGTGGATCTGTATCCTTTAAGTGTTTCAAAGCTTCGTCCAACAGTACATCTCCCGTAGGCGCATCACTTTTCAAAAGGAGCTTCCTAGCTAACAAACTCTTCTTACGCATACCAGCTTTTTCCAATTCTACCCTACCCCGAAAGGCGAGCTCCGCTAAGATACATCCCCTTAATCCGGAGCTTATGCAATCGTTCCAAAAGGACGTGTATCCCTATGAGAAAGAGGACAAAGGGTCAAACGTCAATCAGTCCAGGAGTTCGCAAAAGAGAAGGAGATTTCTTAGGACATAAATGAACCTCTTTATCCTTGAGACCCAGCAGCAGGACTTCCTCCATGAGAGTGAGACGCGTCTCCTTGTCCGAATCATCGTCGGTGGTGGGATTGCAGTTGAGATCCTTTGGCCCCAAGATCGCGTCTGAGTTTTGTCCAGACTGTTTGTCGTTGTTCCCAACGAGGTCCATGTTCGAACCATCCTGGCCGCTGCCACCGCCGGCGCCGCTGCCACCGCTGTTCGCCACGCGTCGTCGCTGCACCAGCCCGTCACCGCGATTCATCGTGCGGGGCAGACGAGACCACGATGAGACGGCACCGCTTGGAAGTACGTCCGCGTGTTCCGGGGAGGATACACCACCGCGTGCAACCACGACCGTATCCGTCACAGACGGTGTCGTTATTAGAGGGAACCGGCACGAGCGTCTATCGTACGGTAAACACTGTGCCGTTGACGTTTGCTCCAAAGCGACATGTCTCATCCAAGATGGCCAGACCCCACCAGTTTGATGACCTCCTCGCGCGATTACCCCGCGGTGAACCGAGCGCGGCAGAAGACGCGCGCGGCACGGTGCGACGCGATGCAACGGCTGACGTAACGAACGGGCGAAGGTGGAATACGTATGGGATCTTGCGGTATACCTCCGCACTCGATTCAGGCTCGCGTCTTCTCGTCGTTCGCGTTTAACGTGCACACAGATTCACCGCGAAAACCAACGCGTCTGCGGGAGAGATATCGGGATACGATGCACGTAAAAAATCGCGAGACTAATCCGGGACATCGAGAAATCGTACGTGAATACAGGGCGAGAATCACTCATGCCACGCAGAGAGTGAGGAACGGGAAGAAGGGACGAATGAATGTCTATTCTCTCGCACCAGCGACAACAGTCACGTCAATCACCGAGCGCAGCAGTGTCGCCGCAGTTTAGAAAATGCACAAGTCTCTTCCGTACCGACCGAACGACGCGAATCTACTTACCCTATGAGATTGTTCGTATTATCTGTACTTTTTACACTCTCTGCGTGTCTCTCTCTTCTTTCTTTTTAATGCCCCTAATATATGAATTTGTTCGCGTTGCTTGTATTTTTTGCACTCAATGTCTTCGCTTTCTTTATCCTGCGATGCTCAAATAGATGTGTATCTTGTTTCAAAAATGCAAGAATTTTTGAGGATTTTTTTCGCTGAGAGCAACGCAAACGAAACTCAAACTACTTTTTGCATTGCGCAGATGATTGCTGGCTTTTGTGCGCAGCACATGATTGCGCTAGGGAATAACTCGAGATGACCAATCGGTCTTCCGCTTTTCCGGAAACGATAGACAATAGGCACTCTTGTGCAAAAGAGGAACAGGCGCTTCCGGTATTTTGTATACGTTATGTCAACTGGAAAATTAAAAAGTTTGGCTCGTATTTAAGACGCGCTTATAATAAAGTTAGCGCGCGATAATATTTGTAATACAAATAGGAATATTTTAATTATTTATCTTTTATAAGTCTTAAGACTTGGAGGCACGTGAGGAGGCTTATAAAAGATCGCTTGATCCTAAATCTGAGGAGGAACGGACAAAGGTATACCAGTTTAATTTTGTTGAAAATTACTTTGAGATACTTTTTGATTGTTAATTCAGATATATAACATATATAATTATATTCAGGCTGAAGTAAAACGATTGCAAGAGTGGTATTATAAGCAAATAGAAGAAGAGATGATGTTTACACGAGAACTTTTTTTGGAAAAGCTTAAGAGCTCATCAGATGATTCAACATCTAATGTGGGAGACTTTCGAATCAAAATTAGATGGAAGGTACAAAATGGTGATTTGATAAATGGTGAATATAATTATGATAATTTACATCAGTGCTTAAATTTAGTTGCACATTTGGGGCCGATTTCGTTGTTGACGCCTACTTGTCCCCCCTTGCCGCGTATCCCATAGCAACAAATCTCCCGATGCTCTTATAAACAACGCGCGTACCGGCTTACCTTAAGAGCGTCTGTACTTACGATGGGATCAGTATCGTGAGGCTGGTATGAAATTACATTATCCATCTATTGTTATACGCTAATCTAAAATATTGTATATCGACATATGTAACAGGCGTGTTGCTGCATCGTGGGCAACCCTTAGAAAAGTTTATGAATTAATGTTATGGCAATTGCGAGGACGACGGCAAAGGCAGACAAATGCCGGTACATTATGGTTCTAAAGAATTGAATTTTGTGACTATTTCATCTCCATTAACAACGCAACTTCCACAAGGTATTAACACTGCTTGCAGCACTAGTTGAACGTTTCTGTGTATCCCATAATCCACGTAATTTTAATGGATTTTCGGCTAAACCGATTTCTGCTATAAGCGCTGTTTCCTAAAACAAAACATTTTATTAAAGAATTTTGTTGTATAAATTCGGATTGTGTATATACAGTCTTATTGGCTGTATTTAGTAGAAGCAACTTTACAATAATTTAAAGATTCTTTGATATAATTGATTTTTGTCCTTAGTTTCTTACTGAATTTAAACATATAAATCGATTATATTAAAGACTCTTACAGCAATTGTAAAACTGCTTTTTCTGCTACACACAGCCATTGTTCCTTTATCAGTATCTTACGAACTTACTGCTGCAATTTTATCTTCAAATTCAATCATGGCACTGCCTTTTTTTGTAGATGATATAACAAGAACCGCTGCATCCCCATACTGCAGAACAATAATTAAAAAAATATTTAACACATAAAACTAAAAAAATGGAATTAAAACATGATATTACCTTGGAAAACATTTTATGTAAATTATCATAATTATATCCACCATTTGTCAAATCACCATTTTGTACCTTCCATCTAATTTTGATTCAAAAGTCTCTCACATTAGATGTTGATGTAAACATCATCTCTTTGATTTGGTTATGATACCACTCTTCCAATTTTTTCACTTCAGCCTGAAAATAATTATTATGTTATATATTTGAATTAACAATCAAAAAGTATCTCAAAGTAATTAAACTGGTATACCTTTGTTCGCTTCCCCAGCGATCTTTTATAAAGATCTTCCTCACGTGTCTTCAAGTCTTCCTTTAATTTCTTCCTCTTGGCATCAAACTGTCTAACTCGCTCTTTTGCCTGCTTTCTGGCAGCAATGGCTTGATCATACGCTACCTTGTTTCACAACATATTTTTAACAAATTAGATCATCTATGAGACTTTCTAGAAGTCTAAGAAAACAGATGTTTGATGATAAAAATGTTAATAAATTTTGAGAAGATGTTGATACACTTACTCTGGCGTTTGTGTCTGTCAATATTTCCAATACTCTCGAGAGTTCTTGAAATAATTCTGCGGCTCTTGGATTGTCAGGGTTTTTGTCAGGATGGCATGTCAAAGCTTTCTTGCGATATGCCTTCTTGATCTGAAAATACGAACAACATCGAGTGTTTTCTTTCTCAATACTTTCCTATTATAAAATATTTTATCTCATTACAAAAAGCGTAAACATATTTGTAAAGTAAATCCAAATCCTTGAGAAACAAATTAAAAGTACAAACCTCTGGTACAGAAGCTGTTGGCTCCACACCAAGCAATCCATATAAATCCATTAAGGTAATTATACAGAATCACTCGAGCAGCTTAAAATTCGATCAAATTAGGCTTATTCGACGCGTTTTTGCATGAAACGAAAGAATCTGGCAGAAATAAGCATCGCTCTGCCCTACGAACCGAGATATTTAATGTTAAAGTTGACGACTATTCAGGTTAGGAAATCTGTCTTCCCGACTACATGTAGTGCTACGAGTTTTCCTTCTTCATGCTCTCTGACCTCTGTCCATTCTATATTAGGCGGCAATATGCATCCGCCATATTGGCTCCTGGCAGTTGGCGCATTTTTCAAAATCGTCGATCTTAAATACACGATTCTGCCAATTCAATGATAAATCTAGAGGTATAAGATTATGGTAAATGTTAAGAAGATTCCGGCCGCCTCAAGTTTTGATAAACATTCATGAATGTTTCAGAAAAGTTTTTATGAAGATATGTCAGGAAAGTAGCATTCTTTTAGAAACATATTCTAAAATGTATATATATATATATACCCTCAAATTTTGATAAAAATATACTCAATCAATGCGTTTTCGCGTAAAACTAAAGATTTGGCAACAACAAAAAACGTCGCTATGCCTTATGAATCAAAATATTAATCGTTAAAGTCAATATGGCTATTCAAGTTAGGAAATCTGTCACAGCAATGGTTCACTGCTATAAGAACACAAATCTTTTGCAACGAATACTATGTTAAAACAGTAAGTTTATGTTTTAAAAACAATGAATCACTGCTGTGACAGATTTCCTAATTTAAATAGTTGTCGACTTTAATGATTATTATCTCAGTTCACAGGACAGACGACGCTTCTTTTTCTTCTTTTCAAATCTTTATTTTTATGCGAAAACGCATCGATTGAATGCATTCAAAAAACGCACCGAATAAGTTTAATTTGATCGATTTTTAAGCTGCTCGAGTGATTCTGTATAATTACCATTAATTGTATCTGTTATATATTTAATCTTTTATAATATTTATCTATGAGTAATTTATTTGCTAATATTGCTAACGATATTTAATATAAAAAACATATAGTTTTGTATAAAAAGTTTTAAATAATAAATGTATAACGAGATTTTTAATTAAAGTTCCGCTTTTTTTTATTTGACAAATAAATGAAAAAGAATAAAGATTTTTTTAACTAAAGCTTCTTAATTGAAAATTCAATTAATGATTATCAGGGATAAAATGTATTTCAATTGATACAACTACTGATTGTTTACTAGCATTTTATTTTGATCAGACTATATGTTAAAGAGGTTTGAATTATATAAAGTAAGTGTAAAAGTAATTATAAAATCAATTTTATTAATCAGAAAAATACAACTTGTAAACTAAATTACAGTTATAGCTAAAGGAAAAGAACGAAGTTAATTAAGTTACAGTTATTGAAAAAGGTAATTCTAACTGTAATTTATTCGTTACGCGAGTGACGAATTATTTCTTAATCTCTTAAACGTTAAACAGATATCGATTTTTCCGCAGGTAACTGATACGTTATAACAAACTTGAGAATATTTTATTACACAATAGCGCACAATAGATCCGATAAATGAGCAATAATATATCACGATTCAGTTTCCGATCAAGAAGAAGCGGATTCTTCAAATCTAACCGAGATTCTTCATATTTCATTATTTTGTCTTTCCTGCCTTATTTTACGTAATACAGTGCTCTGTTTTATTATCTCTTATAATTATCATCGAATATGCATTTACATGAAAACCATCTGCGAATATATTTAAATGTTTTTTAAGTCTTATCTCTTCCGCAAATAACGGACTTAAAAAGATATTCAATAGTTAAATTATGTATAGTAGTTCAATCAACATTGTAAAAAATGTACGAATACCTGCAATAATTTATACAGATATTATTATTAGTTATTGTATAAAGGCAACAAATAAAATCTGCCATAGAATTATACAAAACTATCCCAATCAAAACGATTCTGTTTTTCATTGATCGTTATTTCTGTTACACGACATTCAAATATTATAGTATCGGTATATAGTAACAGTATATTGTCAATTTGACAATATACATATAATAGTCTAATACAACCATTGTTTTAATATAAAATAACAGTATAATTGAGAAGCTGTGTATTTTTGATTTGTCATCCTTCTCTTACATTTGGTTTCAATTTTTATTTTCTCTAGGACAATAGCTCGTATAGCTTCTCCAAAAGTATCGTATACATGAGGTATGCGAAAATAACAAAAGTAAGAAATAACAGAAATCAGGATATAGAAAACTGACAATGAATGGCTCGGTCGAGGGCACCGATCAGGCTTGTCACGGTTCTGTCCCGCTCTACGGCAACGAGCAACGTCGAGGAGCAAGACGGAGGTGCGTTCCGGTGTTCAGCGTCCTGAGTTCAGTTCTCCGTGATCGCTCGATCAGGTGGTATCGAGTGGGATCTGCTCGCGCCGTCCGATCCGTCGTGTTCTCGCGATTGTATTCAACATCGACGAACAAAAAAAAAAAAAAGAAAGAAGAAGAAATCAAATAAACCGCACGTCACTGGATATCGCGACGTTGTGTCCTCCGTGGGAAACAGAAATATCAGGATATCCATCGGGAAGGGAAATCGTCGATAATGATTCAGCGGATTCCTCATTGAATAGATCAGTACGTCGGATCGGCTATCAGGTGAGATCGGCGAAAGGAATTTCTACGGTCACTACCGTCGCGCGAGAATTCCTCTCCGCGAGTACGCGACGCGCCGCGCCGCTCGTTAATATCCTGGGATCCTGAATAACATATAGTTGCCTAAGAATGACGTTTACCAAGGACTTTTAAATGTCTTTCGAAGTTGATTGGCGCTCAGGCTCGTTCAAAAGCGACTTTTGCTGCCGGGAAAATTCGGATTTTGCAGTACGGCACAATTACGCAGACGGAACGTCTCATTTTCAATACACGCGTTCGAAGTATTTTGTTTTTTGTGTATAAAAAGAATCCTACTTTCCATCGAAGCAAATTTAGATACTTAACGATATTAATATCTAGATTTACAAATACATTTTCAGTTCTATAAACGTTTCTTTTTCAAATTGCTGTTCAACACTGTGTGACATAAATTTCATTATGAATTATATTAAATTTGAGAGAAATTGGAGCGCGTTTCATTCCAGGGATAAAGTCTGGTCTTTTTAAAGCGGAGTCTAATATCAAATAATTTATTTAATGCTACTCGAGGATTCTTGACATTATTGCAGTTCTTGATAATATTAGATATCATATAAAAGTAATCATATCTCTCTTTGGAAAGAGAAGATATTATTAAGAAAGTTTTACATGAATCTAACTACAATTGTAATTACTTTAGTTATGCTCTGATTATAGCGGCAATCTTTTGATTTCTTTCACATCTTAAATATTTAACATTTATTACGTGCCATTTATATGAAAAAAAATATTACTTAATTTATTTTTAATTTTGTACAGATAAGTAAGTCAATCTATTCAAATAGATAAAAAAATCACCAAGTTTTAAAATTAAAACAGATACAAGTTATAATTTATTTTAAAAAACTGTTTGCGCAGAAAAATGGCAAATAAATAATATGAGTCAATACTAGATATTGTAGTTCAGATACGACAATTATTATCAAGATTAGAAATGAGATTATGATTAGAATGAGGTATTATCGATATCAATGAAATTATGTTATTATACTGTTAAATAACTAAATAATTTTAAATTCAAATATTATTGAATATAGCTTTTAAAATTATTTCTATAACATTTTGTTGCGAGTGCATGAGAGAGAAAAATCTATACTTACACAACTTCCGGACACTTTGATTTACAATTCTAGAGTGACCGCGCATTGATGTTCTGAATAGGTGTCTACGGTAACAGTAATGCAGTAGCACACTTAAGAATTACATCATGATTACACGTCCCTCCGGCTGACATGATTCTAAATTTCACACGAGCTATTATTTCAATCGCGCATCACTCGTCGCCGACCCTCGATTCCCCCGCGGCCGCAATGAATCGTCGTTTCGTCGACCGCTTGCTCATTCCGCCTCATCCGTCGATCTCACAAAAGGGAAACCATGGGAATCCCGTCTAATTATATTATTCATAATTAGCTGGGATTTGCGCGCGGAGAGCAGAGCCGGAGCGGAGCGGCGCCGAGCTATGCGGTCGCCGAACGTGCCTGCAGTCCTAACGATGTGAAACGACGTGGATTATCACGGTTATCCGAATGTACTTGACTATTACCGAGACAGTCGGGATGCACACGAGCGCTCGGCCATTTTTCTCCCTTCTTCCCTTTTTATTTACCTTGCTTTACCGACATCCGCCGCGTAAAGTAGCAGCGAAGTAGTAAAGTGAAACGGATAACACCTGTGCAGTTGTTTGGTTCACGGATATGATTTGGTTAACGGACTTCAAATTATACGGTTCTCTGTCAGAGATGGAAATATACTTCGGTTGTGTGTTCATACGAGTCGCGTATCGTTATGATGCGGTGTGTATTTGCACGAACGTCATTCTTTCATTAACAATGAGCTACGTACGTGGGACAATGATAAATATACGCAGTAACATGTTTTCTATAAATTGTCTCGAGTCGATTTCCCGAAGATATTTCATTCGACGAATATTCGTATTGAAATTCTGATATATAAATATTTCTTAAAAGTTCTCTCTGTATATAATTTTATAATAATAATTAATACGTTAAACAGGGCAAATAAAAGAGTCAAATTACAATTAAAAATCTAAATCTAATAATTTATTCTAATATATTGCGAAGAATATCACGTAATTTTTGGCGTTTCATCCCGGATTAGATTTAGATTTTTAATTGTAATTTGACTCTTATTTACCCTGTTTAACGTATTAATTATTATCCTTGAATTATTGTCCTTGAAATCTTCAATTTATTTATAATTTTATAATTTTTTAAAAAATTCTCAAATTTTTGTATCAATAGAAACATTTTTCAGAAGTGCTAAGAATATTTATAGTTTTTTGTACAGGTAAATCCATAATGTTGAGTTTAACCTAACGTGAATCGTCACTCCTATACTATACATGTTTAT